AACTTATTAAATATACATTAGTTATCTAAAAAAGGTATAATGCATGACTTTATTATTATATTCAAAGGAATATGAATACCAACTTTCTCTTTAATATCATCAAATGCCCAAGATTTTAGATGACTTTTTTGACTAGCTTCATAGATTTAAAGTAACTGGGAATCACATGGCTTACTGAAAAAACTTGTCAACTTTTCAAATTGCCTCCCAATGATGCATATTGTTGAGTTATCTTTACTACTAGTTGCAATGTTTTCAACCAAAACATAGACACCACTAATTAATTTTACGCAACTATTTGCTTTATCCAATTTTAATGAAAAACACTCATTTTTCCAACCACTAAATTGTGGCTCACATACATCTGACAACATTGGTCGGTTCTGGTGTATATTTTGCAATTTAATTGGACCATAGCATGATTTTTTTGACTGATTGGTTAGCATACAATTACTATATGCATGCTTTTCAGCGTATCGTCGTGCTCACTGTTGTAAAGGTTTTACACCAGACTTAATTTTTTTTTTAGAGTTTGCATAAARTTTTCAAAGGGGAATGCAGAATAACAATTTAAAGAACCAAAGTGTTCAACATCTTCAGCTAAATGAAGGAGGGAATTTATATTWTRATACATATATATTTCACCATAAATACTTTTAAAAGATAATGCAAAATGTTGAAGTAATTGATTTGCATAATCAATATATTCATCACTTAAAGACTGAGTTGAGAGAATTCGAATAGCAACGAATAATTCTAAATAATGATCATATACTTCAGCATTTAAGAAGTTCTGGAAAATAATAAATCCTAAGTATAATAGGCATTGACGTAGCTCTGTAGCTTTCCACCGACTAGCATCGTGCAACGGATATTTCCTACTATTTTCACTAAACCTCCTTTGAAACTCTATAGGAATGTATTCTGATAATTGATTAAGTTTTATGTCTAGAACATTAATTAAATTAGCAGATAATGACATGTTTTGCTTATGCTTAGTAGCCCCAATCCAAAACAAAAGAAGTTTTTTCATTACACCAATGCATACACAGTGCATGTAATCAAAAGGAATAGATTTTGCAAGATCAAAGTTTGGAAGTTCAGTTAAAATAGTTTTTCCATTATGAAAAAAAGGATCTTTATAATTCATAAAATTATTGTGTGTCCGTAAAGGTGAACCAACTTCAGTATAGCACACTCTATCAATTACCCATTTCCCCACATTTTGTCATCCTGAATGTGTAATATTATGAGAAATGGCCCATATTTCTATAGTCAATTTCAAGTCAGGATTGTCATTAGAATCTGAAAGTGTTGATGAACAACTAGTAGACTCAGAGGCCACATTAATTTCTTCAGATAAATATTCATCAATATGCATGTTATGAGAAATGTGTACGTTAGAACAATTCAAATTTGTCTGATCAACATCAGTAGAAGTTGAATAATCAGGAAGAGGATGCTCAACCGTATTTGTGTTTATTGATGAACTGTTAGAATTACTAAGAGATTRGCCTTCATAATCATCTTCACTAGATAGAGCTTCTAATAACATCATAGAAGCTCTTTTCCTATTCCTGTAACGGGTACTCTTACTAAGGTTTATATTTTGTTTTGATATATTTATTTATTTTAT